ATGTCAACAACACCATTGGGACATTTTGTACCAAGTTTGCCCAAGCGTCCGAAGTTGGAACTCCCTAAATATGGAGGTAAAGTAACTGAGTGGAATTCTTTCTGGGACTTATACGATTCAGCTATTCATAGTAAGCCAACTATTTCGAAAGTCAATAAGTTTAATTATTTACAATCATTACTCGAGGGGCAGGCAGTGCGAGCAATAAAAGGTCTCACATTGACCAGTGCAAATTATGACGCTGCGATTACAATTTTGCGAGACCGATTTGGGAAAACTCAGCAGACAATAGCTGCCCACATGGATGAAATTTTGAAGATCCAAGTTTGCATAAACGGTCGAACAAGTCAACTGAGATATGTTTACGACAAAATAAGTGTCCGTGTGCGGGGTTTGGCGTCTCTCGGGGTATGTTCTGAACAATACGGTATCATGCTAATCCCAGTTATTATGTCGAAATTGTCAACCGAAATCAGCCTTGAAATTGCTAGAAAATCTACGGGAGACGTTTGGAAAATTGAGGAATTGGTAGACACAATAAAAACTGAGATCGAAGCGCGGGTAGTGAGCGAGGGGGTGCAGTCAAGTCAACAGCCGAGTAAAAAATCTGTCCCACCCTACTCCCCTAGAATACCCTCTGCAGGTGCATTTACGACCCAAGACAAAACTGGTAAATATATCCAATGTGTTTATAGCAAAGAGTTTCATTTTTCGGCATCATGTACGTGACCGAGTGACAAACCCCAATGCTCGCAAAGATATATTGAGGAGAGACAATCGGTGTTTTACATGCTTCGGGATTGGTCATCGCAGTACAAGATATATGCGAGTCGAAAAAGAATTGTAGACGATGTCACGGCAGGCATCACCTACCAATTTGTGAAGCATCCAAGGGCTCACACTATACATCACCTTTCATGAATGGAAACTAACCCATCCCAACCAGTAAAGACGACGATTTACCTGGAGAACCAAATAATACTAGTATTGCAACTGTCATTGACAATTTGACTTCAACGCATGATAATCCGATTACAAGTGGCTGTATGCATATATGGGCGTGCGGGAAGGAAAAAATGGGGGGGGGGGGCGGATTGTGTCTGCATTGTCAAAAAGAGTTTTCCGGAGAAACTGTTTCCAAAATTGTTGTCGAAGGGGAGAGGGGGGGGAGGAGTGATTACGAAAAATTCCTATTAGATAGCATAATTCCCACAAAATTGACAGAATTTCCCACAAAATTGACAGAATTTGTCCCATTTATTTTTATAATAAGCTAATATTGCCCGACTGTGAAGCGAATATTTCCCGACTGGCTTTGTTTGCCTAACAAACTGGGGAGGGGGGGGGGCTGC